CCCCCCCAGATTCCGGAGGCACCTGTCACTCGTGAACCCATTTGTGTCCACTCTGTCCTTTTCCATTTGCTAAAACCAAACCTCTCCAATCCTCTCCATTTTGGTGGAAAGACTTCTACAACCACCACCCTTTTATGCTGCTCAAAGACACAGTTGTTAGTGTTCAGTTCTGCTGCCCAGGCACTGAGGGCTGAAATCGCTCACATGCCTAAGATGAGCTTTGTGCCTTCTCTTGGGAGATTCCTTCCTGGAGATCCCTCCAGGCTGCCTAGTTGGGAAAGGGGGTTGTCTCCTTGGCAGGGCACTTGGTTACACAAAAGGAGATGGAGATTCATACCCCCTTTTTCTTGTGGGGGACCTAGAACCTGCATCTCTCGCTTCCTTGACAAGCATCCTAACCACTAATCTAGTTGGGTTAAAAGGTCTGAAGCCCTTCCTCACCCTTCACTTCACTTCTCACACACACACACCTACCTGGGTAAGTTAATTGTGCTGAACATGGAAGGAGAATCCTCCATGTCGAAATGGCCATTGGGCAGTTATGTGGGTATATAAAGGGGAAACAGGATTAAACCCATCATGTCATGTGCTCTCAGGCAAACCCAGTTTCTTAGTCAAACCTCTCATCAACTCTTTTAATACCTAAACTATGGCAACAAGCCTGTGGAATAGCTCCATTAAAGCCAAGGAAGGATGCCTCTGGCTCAGAGAACTTTAGGTCAGTGTCATTTTTGTGACATCTTTATCAGCTTTTACAAATTACTTATTCTTAATTGCCTTTCACCTCATATAAAATAATATCTAAAATCAGAGCAAGCCAGATTTAGACCAGGCAAGTCCTGCACTAGCCAAATACTCATCATCACCCAGCATACAGAAAATGGATTCAAGAAAGGAATGAAAACAGGAGCTGTGTCTGTAAACCTATCAGAGCCATCTGACACAGTCAAACACCAAAACCTGCTTGCCAAAGTCTACAGTATGATGTATGATTACCACTTAGTGTGGCTCATCTGATCTCTTGTGGAGAATAGACATTTTTTTTATGTAGAACTGTCCAAGAAACAGAGCTTCTGGAGATGACAACAAAATGGCCTCCAAGAGGGTAGTGTGCTAGCAACAATCCTTTTTAACGTATATACCAATGACCTACCCATACAGAATAATATGAGAAGCTTTATATATTCTGATGATCTATGTATCACACTGCTAAAGGACTTCACCACTGTCAAGAACATACTGACATGTACACTGAGCAACCTGTCAGATGACTACAGTAAGAACCAACTAACAGGATGTCTAAAACCAACACTAAAGAATAACCTGTTCTAATTGGCTGGCATTGCACTACTTGATATCAGAAAAAAGGTAGGGAGCCAAAAAGAAAGAGCACAGCAGGTGGAAGACCTCAGACATCCACTCTATGGTCACACAGAAGTAATTACATGGCTTAAAATGCAAAAGAGCATTGTGACCAGAGATGCATCGCTGGACACAACAGCTGCCAGGGCATGGCTGAGACAATGGAAGGAAAGACGATGTGCAAACAGGTGCTCTGAAATGGACCTGGAGCCCCGGTAGCACCTTCCAAGGGGTGTGTGTGTTGGGCAGGGGGCTATCTAGATTGGTCAACATGGCGATGTCTGAATCACCTGTGCACGCAAACTGGAGGATAAAAAAACAAACATGATCAAATGGGTCTACTCTAATGACATGATATATGTGAGTGTGGTGAAGTGCAGCCGATGGAGCACGTGCTTGTTTGCCGACTCCTAGGTGAGACCTGTAAGAAGGAGGACCTTGAGGCAAAATGGAAGGTTCCATGATTTGCAGATGAGTCTGGAAAAGCATCTAGTTTATGACAAAGTCATCAAAGAGGTCTGAAAAATGGAAGAAGAGCAGAAGGGCAGATGATCCAGCTGTTTTCAGGAGTAACATTTCTGAACAATCGATTGGCTATTGGGCACATTTTACCTACAACCTGTCTGTACTTAGTAATTAAAAGTGCCTCGACACAGCAGAATTCTTAGCATGATGCGAGTACTCGGTGCAAGGGGTTCCTTGCTACAGCAGGAAAAACCTTGGTGCAGTGATCAGCTCCCGCCAAGACTAGCAGTTGCACTGTTTGGATGCATGCTACCGATTGGCTCATTGTAAATTATTCATACCCGACGGCTAGCGATTGGCTTACTGGCCGTATAAAAGCTTGGGTAGTTTCCGCCCAAGCCGGAGAACTCCGTGTGTATGTTGGGAACGAGTTCCTCGTGTACCTTGGAGCAAAAGTTGGAGGCCTGATCACCCATCAACCACTCCCCGTCGTCAACCATCCCGACGTACCCCGCACCCTGAATGCTCGGAAAACATCGGTGTGCCACCCGGTTTCTTTCTTTCTGTTATCTGTAACCTGTACGGAGCGTGCTTACACTGAGTGACGCAAGTCCCTGTATGACAGTTTGTAAGTAAAGTTCTTTTCAATTCAACCACTACGCGTTTGTGCCTAATTCCACTCCATCACTGCGGCCCCATTCCGGCTATACTTGGCACCCACACGGCGTCACGGACAGGATCAGTATCCGGGGAAGACGCAATGGAGTTGGAATTAGTTAAGAATTGTCCTTGGCGCAATGGGAAATGCCACGTGCAGAGCGCCGTGGAGTTAGGTGCGCATATCGCCTACCACCAGGCGGGTGGAACGGGTGGAAGACTTGTCAGCGGTTGCCTCTCGCTTGAAGGAGAAGAGGAAACTGCGAAAGAGTGGGAAGTACGTCTCCATTCCGGGGCATTCAGATATGTGATGGGAAGGGAGCGGGTTCTATTCAGACCCCAAGAGGAAGGGGGCACGGAACCCTTCACCGGACAAAAGCCGAGCGAAGAAAGTACTACCCTCAGCCAGGAGTTTGCCCGCCGCATGCGCTGTGTGCAGGAGGGCGAAGAGCCGGCGCTGATTAATCTAACCCTGGCGCCTGAGCTGAGAGACCCCGAGCTTCTTTTGGAGCTCCACGGAAAGTTAGAAGCGGAAAGTCACTCCGCGATTGGAAGGACCGGCTCGGAACACGGAAAGGGGAAAATGTTAAATGCAATGTTCCGCATGATTACAGCTTTGATGCGGGAAAAAGCAGACCTGGAAGCCTGACTGCCTGCTGTTCAAGCGGCTGAGCAGATGGCAACAGAGGTCGACCCCGTCCCCCGCCATTTCAAGATGGCATCGAAAGGGAAGGGAGCTGCCCGGAGGGCCTGGAAGAGAAAGGCGGATCCTTCGATGGACGGGCGGGAGTTCAGTCAATGACTCCACCCCATGAGGCTGCGTCGCTCCCGACTGCCCCGCCCTCGCAGTACAGCAAGGAGGCAATGGAGAAACAGCTGTACCCGGTTCCCTTAACAGATGCAGCAACGTCTCAGATGGCCACATGTCCCGTGGCAGTGAGAAGGCGAGTGATTGGTGCACAGAGTGCCGCTTGCATCACTGCCAACACCTATCACGCTGGAACCTGGACGGAACTGCAAGAGCTATGCAAGAAGTCCAAGATGAGACCTGAAGAAACCTTAGCTATGTGGTTGGGACACCTGGTTGTGGAGTTTGGGTCCGACCTAGTGGACAGAGAAGAGGCAAGTTTCCTGACTGGACGAGCCTCATGGAGCGGAGGACACACCACCGACATTGATACAGTGATGTGTAATGTCCACTGGCCTATGCCACTTCCAGCGCTTGTTGCAGATCAAGCTGAGAGGGGGCATGTTTCTTGTGGGGAGGAGCCTCATGGAGCGGAGGACACACCACCGACATTGATACAGTGATGTGTAATGTCCACTGGCCTATGCCACTTCCAGCGCTTGTTGCAGATCAAGCTAGCCGCAAGTCCTATGTATGGCACAGAGGTCGCCCATTAAAGGTTGATATAAAACAAATCTTACTGGCAACGATAGGAGTCTTGTATTGCACCTGGAATCCTAGAACATATGCACTGGGACTGACACCACCCCAGCAAAGAGGACCGTGGCCTCATCGTCACCTGCAAGATCCTGGAGCTGTCCCGATAACGCTTAACGGTGTGGAAGCCTGCATTGAAGTTTACGGAGAAAAAGCCGCCACCATTCTCCGAGTTCTTCTAAACCCACTAGTTGGACGGCCCGCAGGCAATCTTTTGTGTCAACTCCCACGATTGCAAGCTCTCATCAAGCCGGACATAGAAACAACCAGTGATCCGGAGCATCCATCCACCACATGCCCGCACAAGTCTAGCTCGTGACGACCACACATGTCACCGCAGAGACCGCCAGAAGACCAAATAATGTTCGGATTTCTCCTGCAGCATTTTAGACTTACCAAATGGCAGTTGCGAATTTTGGGAGATGAGGGTCAATGGAAACTAGCATACGAGCTAGATTTTCGATATTCAGTTAAGATAGATGATGAGTCATCTTGTTAAAATTAGTATTGTAAGATAAGTTGGTTAATGGTCTAGAGAGTTTCTTTCTCCACAGGTCCGAGATCCGAGACGCGTGCCGGAGCCAGACGAGAGAGAAAGAATACTCCAAGAAGTAAGGGCTCGACGTGTGACATCATCATGACACCCACCGAAGTCCTTGTAGTTGAACTTTTTATAATGAATTTGTTAATGTGTAGTTGTGTTCTGCTAGGTTATTGTTTGATCCGATCTT